GGGTTTGGGTTGGGTTTGGGTTGGGTTTGGGTTGGGTTTGGGTTTGGATTTGGGTTTGGATTTGGGTTTGGGTTTGGGTTTGGATTTGGGTTTGGGTTGGGTTGGGTTTGGATTTGGGTTTGGGTTGGGTTGGGTTTGGGTTTGGGTTGGATTTGGTGGAACTGAGCGCGTTATGGTTGGTCATGGAGTGGATTTGGGTTGGGTTTGGGTTTGGGTTTGGATTTGGGTTTGGGTTGGGTTTGGGTTTGGGTTTGGATTTGGATTTGGGTTGGGTTGGGTTTGGGTTGAATTTTGGTTTGGGTTGGGTTTGGGTTTGGGTTTGGACTTGGATTTAGGTTTGGGTTTGGATTTGGATTTGGGTTGGGTTTGGGTTTGGGTTGGATTTGGTAGGAGATGAGCGAGTTCTGGTTGGTCATGGATGGGATTTGGGTTTGGGTTTGGGTTGGATTTGGGTTTGGGTTGGATTTGGTGGAAAGGAGCAAGTTATGGTTGGTCATGGAGTGGGTTTGGGTCTGGATTTGTGTTTGGGTTTGGGTTGGATTTGGGTTGGATTTGGTGGAAAGGAGCAAGTTATGGTTAGTCATGGAGTGGATTTGGATTTGGGTTTGGGTTTGGGTTCGATTTGGGTTTGGATTTGGGTTTGGGTTTGGGTTTAGGTTTGGATTTGGATTTGGGTTTGAATTTGGATTTGGGTTTGGGTTGGGTTTGGGTTTGGGTTTGGGTTTGGATTTGGATTTGGGTTTGGATTTGGGTTTAGGTTGGATTTGGGTTTGGGTTTGGGTTGGGATTTCGGTTTGGATTTGGATTTGCATTTGCATTTGGATTTGCATTTGCATTTGGATTTGCATTTGCATTTGGATTTGGATTTGGATTTGGGTTTGGGTTTGAATTTGGATTTGGGTTGGATTTGGGTTTGGATTTGGGTTTGGATTTGGATTTGGGTTTGGATTTGGGTTTGGGTTTGGGTTGGATTTGGATTTGGGTTGGTTTTGGTAGGAGATGAGTGCGTCATGGTTGTTCACTGAATTTGGTTACACGCTGGCTGAACATCGGTTGGATATGCCAAATCCCTTCCCTCAGCTGAGACCCAAAAATCCCTCTCCAAAATTCCCTTTTGACCCCAAAACCGCCTTTTTACTCTGTCCCCACCTCCACCCCGCAAACCGCCGCGCCCGAAACCCTCCCAGTGCCATACTGGTCTGAACTGGTCTCCGTGGAGTTCCCCACCCCATCCCCACCCGGAGCTCCCTTCCCACCTATCCGAGGACGGGTGATAATTCTCATCGCGCGCATCGTCGCCGTAGGCCAGGTCAGAATCTTCATCCTCCTCTTCCTCTCGGGGTTCATCCACCTTGTCCCCCGGCTCGGCGCTGCCGGACAAGGAGCGGGGTCAGCCCGGCGGCGGTGGCGAGGACGGCGCCGGACGGAAGCGCCGGCGTCGCCGGGGGTTTGCCGCTGCTCACCTGTCGGAGGTCGCCAGCGCCGGGTCCGGGTCCGGCGGCGCCTGAGGGGCTGGAAGGGGACAGGAGGGTGGTGAGGTGAGGAGGAGGATGGAGAGTTGGGTGGATGGGGGTGTTGGAAGGGTTGTGTTTGGGTTTGGGTTTGGGCTTGGATTAGGAAGGGTTTGGGTTTGGAGAAGTTTGAGTCTGGGTTTGGGTTTGGGTTGGGGTTGGGTTTGGGTTTGGGTTTGGGTTGGGTTGGGGTTGGGGTTTGGATTTGGGTTGGG